TATTTGTGATTCTTTGTTAATTAAATTCTTACAAAGTTCTTTAATTAATGTCCATCTCCTTATATTTATCAGTTGATTTCGAATTTAAAAACAATAAATTAAGGGCAGATAATAATTTATTGTTTTGTAATATGTGGATTGCATATAATTGATAAAAATATATCGTTTATAGTTTACATTGATTAAGTTCATATGCGGCACTCGAAAGTCGCCCGTTCTGCTCGCCGATATGGTTCCTAATCAACGTAAACTAAAACGCATATATCGTCGTTTTACAATACGCGTCCATGTGAATGAGCCACTACGTCGTGCTCGATTAAAGGTATACACATTACCAGTAAATGAATATTTAAGTTTTATACATCTATATACATATTATATACTTACTACCTGCTTAATAGAGTACCTAAAAACTAGTGTCCAAACGTGTTGTGATTTTGTGCGCAAACGTGTCCAAATTTGGGATGAAATGCCCAAACGTGTTGTATCCCCATTTCGGTGCGTATGATTTGATTTCGGCTTTTGTGCGTTGCCATACCACGGTGAGTCATTCAGGAATTTTTCGGTTGGTCGGCGGTGTTTGCTTCGGGACGTTCGTGATGCTGTCACATTTGTACACGTTTGTGCCGTCTTGCCAACGAATGTTTATATATATATATCTTCGTGGACCGCATCGGTTTGTACCTACATCGTCTCCGACCGCTGATAACCATGACAATCGCTCGATTATAATAATTGTTAAAATGTTTGATCATTATATTCTGTTATCGTTATTGTCATCATATTATTTATAATAATAATTATTATTATTATTATTATCATTATATATTTGTACATTTTGATCGGGCGCCAAATATTCTGTATTCTATGTAGTCGTCGTTATGATTATATTATTTTGTGCTCGACATGCTATATAATATTTATCGTTTTTATTATTATTTATCATTTACATACTTTATATTAATCCTAGACATCATTTAATTTCAGTCTTCCGGCCAAATGCCAGTTAATAGCCGACGACGCGTCAATAATATTAATAAATAATAATTATAATTTATGTAAAATTACATCTTTGTAGTCCAGCCGTCCAGGTCCATCATCATCACCTTTGATCAACTAAATTAAATTCTATAACCTAACCGACCTAACCTAGCTTTGATATTATCGCTTTAGATTTTCCTTCAAATTCCCGTCCTTTTTTCAACATGAGAAACTGTTTTTAAAAATGATTATTTTAATGGGGAATCGTAAGTTCCTACACGAGAGTAACAGGTAGACAATCACTTACGTTAATTCCTACATATGTGATATGTAAGTTCCTACACGAAAAAAAAAAGGTACCTATGTTAGTTCCTACACGACGGAAGATAGGTACCTATGTTAGTTCCTACACGACGGAAGACAGGTACCTATGTTAGTTCCTACACGACGGTTAGGTTAGAAAAAAAAGGTATATATTATGTAATTCTATACTGTCATACATTTTTTAACCCTTTTTTCTATATAATATATAATTTATAAGCTAATTTATTTTAATAATAATTGTAATGTAATAATAATTCATAATTGTAAGAACATAATAGGGTGGAGTAAGTGATAAAATAATGTTATCGCACTCGTTTAAATCTCTATACATGGTGTATAAAATAATAGGATTTATAAAGATAGACTATAACGATAGTTTATCGATAAAGCTGACAAAGTGACTTACTTTCGATATACGAAATATTTACTACTTTTCATTACTGATAAAAATTGTACAAAAAAACCCACAGAATAATGTACATTGTCACATTGGATAATAATAGTTAGTACTGTTCGAAACATTCGTGTGTCTGTACATATCCGTTACGAAGTCACGATGACTAGCGAAAATCGCGTATCCTTTATGCTAAGTGAAAAAGGCAAAGACCTATTAGTGTTAAATGATTTTAAATTTTTTAAACATCACACATCAAAAAAAAATGAAAATACATGGCGATGTGTTATAAATAAGTGTAAGGCAAAAGTGTATACAGTGGGTTTAAATGTTAATTTGATTAATATAGATAAATCATGTTTTGACCATATTCATGCAAGTGATGAAACTTTAAAGAGGCAACAAATAAGTAATTCCTGCAAAAGAAAAGCTTTAGACTCCATAGTGGAAAGACCATCAAAAATAATAAGAAAATAAATATCTAAATACACTAATGAAGGAGATTTGATATTTCCTGATTTAAAATTAATAGCAAGAAATATTCATAATGCAAGAATGAATTGTTATCCCAAACTACCAACATCTCGAAAAGAAGTCCACGAATCATTAAGTTTACTAGACATAAAAACGAATAGAGGTGAGTTATTTCTTTATGACAATGATGCCCTAAATGAAATAATTATTTTTTCATGTAACACAAACATAGCATTTTTAAAACAATTAGATTTTGTATATATGGATGGTACTTTTAACTATTGTGATAAATATTACACGCAATTATACACAATTCATGGAATTAAAAATGGAATATATATTCCATTAATGTTTTGTTTATTACCAAATAAGGAAAAAAAAACATATATCACATTATTAAAAAAAATTAAAATATCTGGAGTAGTACCTAAAAAAATTATTTTAGATTTTGAAATAGCGATGCATCAAGCTGTTTATGAAATTTTTCCAGAAACAGAGGTGTTTGGCTGTAGATTTCATTTGGGCCAAGCTTGGTTTCGTAAAATACAAAATATAGGTTATGCGTCACAATTTAATTCTGCAGTTGACGATGTAGGAAAATGGTTGGTTCATATTTTTGGACTTTCTTTTCTAAATTCAGAGGAAGTGGAGGATTGTTTTACTGATCATTTTATGGCAGATAAACCTGAAAATTCAGCAATTACAGAATTTTGTGATTATTTAATTGACAATTATATTACAAATAATAGTATTTTTCCACCAAAAATATGGGCTAAACAATCTTCTGATAGAATACACACGACAAACGCATGTGAAAGTTTTCATTCGGATTTCAATAAAAATTTTTATCATCAACATCCGCACATTTTTAAAATTATCGAAATTCTCAAATTATTTCAAGTTAATACATACATAAAAATAAGAACAACTGATAGTAACTTGGTAATTAAAATAAGTCAAAAACATGCCGAAAAAGAAAATTTTATAAATCAAAAAATAAAAGAATATTCAACTAAACAAATCAATCAATATGACTACGTTAAAGCTATAAGCTTCAGAAATAAACCTCATAAAATATAATATTTTTTTTTATTGTTTTATTATATTAAAATTATTTATATTATATTAATTAATTATAGAATGCATTACTTATATTTTTTTTTACAATAAATGATGAATTATTTTTTT